TTGCAGCGCCTGCAAAACAAGGTTCTCCGCACGATTGGCAATTTTCCAAGGCGCACACCGGTCCGCGATTTGCACATGGCATTCAAAATTCCCTACGTATATGATTACATAACAAAATTATGCAGGCAACAAGCAGAAGTCATACAAAATCATGATAATGAGAATGTTCGCAACATCGGACAAGGCGAAGCCCGACACAGAAAGTATAAGAGGCTTAAACTTGGCGGCGGTCAAGCATACGACCCTTCAAGTGACTAAACTGCCGTGGTAGCTAATACTACTAGGATATTTATTTATATAAAAGGGCATAATCTGCTGTACCTAGCCTGGACTGACAGAGGCCGTGTATATATTGTACATAGAAGTACGGAATAAGCGTGTATTTGTAAATGTATGTAAATACAGACAATGGACTTAATACAGACTGACTAACAAATGACAGACCCGAACTCTCGTCAGAGAGGGCGCTATACATGGACAAGACAGTAACTTTCATTCAAAAGAAATATCTGGTCATGAGACACCAAGACAGACAGACTGACCGGTCTTCAGTTGTAACATGACCTTGACCTTGACCTTGAAATGCAGATTAGAAAAAAATATTTGTTGTGTACTCTCTTGCTGGTACGTACTGTGTGAGATGGTTATGAGGTATTGCAGTAGCGCATTTCAGTCTTCGAACGTTGGGCGTTTTCATTCGAAAATTTTTGTGAAATAATACAGTGTAAGTTCTGCTGTCTAGTTGTTAAGTGGTTTAGAGGAGATTGTCTGTTTGATAATCACAAAAGGTGATTATTATTGAGAGTCTTGGAATGTTTGACGAAGGTTGGATTAGGATGCGATTCGGACGGGATTTGAAAGGATTGTCTGTTTGTTAGGTGTATTTTCTTACTGGTACATACCGTGTGAGAGATTGTCTGTTTGAGTAGGAGTGAGATTGGGTCGGGACACGTTTACGGAAGGAGTTTGAGCGGGCCCAGGTGACCATAAACTTGAGTGTGTTCGTCTGCAGCCACCTAGTTACTATTCTGCCACCAGTGTATAGTGCGTGGCTAGTGCATCGGTGGCGGTGGCCGTCCCGTCTGCAACGGATAAAATGGCGGAGCCGACATCGTGCGAAACACGGTGGAATGCAATCGTGGCTTCGTTTGACAGGAACCACGTGAACTTAAGAATCAGTAATCCTGACTGCCAGGAAGACATCGATTTACTGGGGAAAGGATTACAAACGATTGGACAGCTTATCCATACATCGCCCTCAATAAACGGAAACGGCGCAGTTTGGAACAAACTTATATCGAAATCCGAGGCCGAGAGGACAGTGCTGTGTAAGCACCTCGAAGGCAAGACGCTCTTTACAGCCATGCTGCGCCCCTATGCTGCCATCCACAGGGAGATGCGAGAGTCTCTCCTACTGGAAGGAAAAGAAGATTCAGCCGAGGATTTTCGCGAACAAAGAAGACGAAAGCGAAACTCCTCAGGAGAACAATCTAAGAAACCGAAGCCATCACCTAGTCCCCGGGATCCTAGATTAAAATCGAAGAATGAAGTTGAAACTAAGAACTTCTTTGCGCCCCTGAGGACGTCAGGTATGGACGTGGAAGAGTCAACCAATAAGCCGGGAGAGCAGCAACCATCGGACAAGCCATGTAGGCCGCCTCCAATCGTACTAACCTCCACGACAAACCTGATGCAGTTGCAGAGGAAGGTCAAAGAACTGGTCACGGGCAATTTTGAGTTCCGCAACACCAGGAGCGGGACCAGAATTGTCACGAAGGAAATGGCGGACTTCTCAGCCATCAAAACTTTCCTAGAAAGTACCAAGCTATCGTACTTTACTTTCTTTCCCAAGACTGAGAAACCAATCAAAGCAGTTATCCGTCACCTTCCACACAACACTTCAGCGGAAGATATCTCTGACAGACTGGTGAGTCAGGGGTTTGACGTCATTAGTGTTAAACAAATGACCAGTCGTCGGACTCCTCCAGAAGGAACAGATAACATCTACCTTCCCTTGTGCCTTATCACACTTCCTAGGACGGAGAAGTTCCAAGAAGTCTTCCGCCTCACCAACCTCTGCCACATTGCCATCAAGTTAGAGACATACAGAGCACAGAGCGGGCCAGTCAGTTCCCTTGCCAGATGTTCATTCCTGCTTCCATTGGTTTAAATCAGCTGAAGTGTTTATTTCACTTGATCTCAACTCGGCGTACCATCAGATTCCATTGACCGAGCGATCGAAGCCCCTCACGGCGTTCGAGACTGACTGGAACTTGTATGAGTATACTAGGTTTCCTTTTGGCATAGCAACAGGCGCTCAAGTTCTTATGCGCTTGTTGGATCAAGTGTTCTCTGACATCAAATTTAAATATGTCTTTCATTATTTGGATGACTTGATGATATATAGTGATTCCTTTGACGGGCATCTCCACCACTTGCTTGAAGTCTTTACCAGGCTGCGCAAGGCCAGATTGACCGTAAATCCTAGTAAGGTTAAATTTGCCACTACAATAAATCTAAACCAATTCTATATGCAGATGACACTAGTATAATATTTAAGAACTCTAAATTTGACAACTTTAAAAATGACATAAATATTGTATTTGAAGCCTTAAACAGATGGTTCGAAGCCAATTTACTCTCATTAAATTTTGATAAAACCCATTACATATCATTCACAACTAAAAACAACCACCAAATTGATCTGGACATCAGTTATGCCAACAAATTAATCTGTAAAGTACTTGATACAAAATTCCTTGGAATACATGTAGACAGTACACTGTCTTGGAAAATACATATTGAACAAATTATACCTAAATTAAATGCAGCTTGCTATGCGATGAGATCAATTAAGCCTTTTATGTCACAGGAAACATTGAAGATGGTTTACCATGCCTACTTTCATTCTATTATGAACTATGGATTAATATTTTGGGGGAACTCTTCACATAGTGTAATAATTTTTAAAATACAAAAGAATATAATAAGAATCATTACAGGATGTAGAAGTAGAGATTCATGTAGAGAATTATTTAAGAAATTAAAAATTCTACCGCTTCAATCGCAATATATATTATCGCTTCTCCTATTTGTTGTTTACAACAAAGATAAATTCAAATTAAATTCTGATGTCTATAACATGAATACTAGACAAAAATATAACTTCCACCTACCCTCATCAACTTTATCAGTATATCAAAAAGGAGTCTACTTTACTGGCATAAAAGTGTTCAACAATCTGCCACAAAGTATTAAAAACTTGGGCAATGATACTAAAAAGTTTAAATCAGAGTTAAAGAATTATCTACATGCTCATTCCTTCTACTCTTTAGATGAATACTTCAATGTAAATAGAGAATGATGTAAAATTAAGTTATATTAATTTTTACGCTAAAATTGCCTGTACTTATGTATGTAACCTTTTGACATGTTCTGTATCCAAAGGTACTAACCTGCTTAGGATTTATAGAATGTAAATAAATTCAATTCAATTCAAAGTGTCAGTCAGTATCCATTTCATTTTCCAAATGAATTTCACGTGTGTGTGAACAAATTTGTTCACACTCATGTATTCCAGAACAAAAAAGAAGCTATGCCACTTTCTAATGTAGTAAGAGCTTACATGGAATAAAAAAACTACACCAAGATTATGCCACTTTATTGTTGGTAGGAATCGGCTTGCTGCAATTGTATCCCGCCTGTACTAATTATCTTCTGCAGGCAGTGGCAATCATGACCATGTTGCCTTCGAAATTACAATTTTGTATCCAGGTATTAGGATAGCTGAAAGAACTGGAAAGAACTTTGCCAGAAAGATATACCACTTCACTAGCTAGTACTGCTGTAGTCACGCCCTGTTTAAACCTCCTCAGCCATCCAAACAGCCGGATACAAATTCATCATTTTGGAGCATTTTAGAGGCTCTGTTTCTAGGGCCATTGTGACGACCAATTTACGATATTGTATTCGGGTATTAGGATGAAGGTTGAGGTATACTAAACATGTTTTATCATTATCATCCGAGACTGGAAATGAAAAAAAAAAGTTCAGGTACTTTGATGGGAGAGGTACCATACATTTACCTGCAGAGTGGTTGGTGTTTGTATTTCTCACTATGAATGTGATGTACTGCTACTTGCCAGTTGGTTAAATGAGCAATAATAATAACAGTAATAATAATAATAATTTAATTTATTAAAAATTGTATACATTTTTTCTTGGAGCACATTAAATTGGTATCACAATATAATTTGGTTACTTTTTTGTGTATTTTACTAGAACGTGTTTATTTATAAGTTAAATTAAGCCACTAGTGATTTGAAAAGTTCTATCATCTGAGAGGCTGATTTTCAACAGACTGCATGGTTTATGTCCCAGGAGACAACTCTTCATAACCATTGCACACAGAAGGACAATCTCTGTTTACATTCTTCATTTTTGAAAACAGGTGCCAAGATGCTGACCAGTTACTCAAGATACAAAATAGCCTTAACAGGTCATGGCTATTCAAGAGCATGCATCACAGGGTCTTTGAGACAGTAGAGTAGTATGTGAACTTCATTCACCATTATACTCGTCTTACAATTAATTAGTGTTGTAGCATGGTATACATTTGGTGGAACAGTTCCATCTGTAATCCACAGCACACTTGCATACAGTGAAACTATTACACCCATAAGGGAGAGGAAAAAACAATCTTTTTAACATTTATAGCCTACACATTGCACTGCTATGATTAACCTCAAAGTTATAATCTGGCCACCACCACCACTGTAGTACTATGGGACTTAAATCCCTGATCCTGCATAATAGAGGTTATAAGGTATGAAAATACATTGGGTGAGGTCAGCATGATCCATATATGTGTCTACTTCGACAAATGTGTACATATGTGGCTTTGTTACAACACAACCTGACAGAAATATTGACATGATGATGATGATACAGATAACGGGAGATATGGCATGGCAAAAGCTATTTATCAGATATTTCACAGAAAAGAACAATGAATAAATGAATCCTTCTAAACACAGATTGTCCTACAGAAACTTCCAAGTGGCTGAGCATCAGTAATAGAAGAGAGGTCTGTAAGATACCTACTCCTTTCAACAGTACAATAAGACTAGTAGCACATCGGAGTATTAGATGTAACCAAATTTTAGGCAGCATTTTTCACTACAAAGAATGGAGTTTAAACCCCAGGAAATATGTTAATCCTTTCAGTCCAGTGCCAGTCTACAAAGACCTTATGCATGCGAAAGTGAGAAAGATCTTCTGTCTTTTAGAATTTCCAACCAGCGGGATAAATCAGTAACTGAAATTGCTCTGTAGTCTTCAGATAAGAAACGTTAATATTTTTTCCCTAATACAGGAATACATTTTTATCTGTTCTGCCAACAAGCAGATGACATAGCAGTCATATATGTCAGGATTGGAGGGTCAATAGAGGCAACACTGACCTCTCTCAAACATTTCTGGTGGTGTTCTATTCAGTCTAAAAGTTCTCCATGAGGTTATTGGGTACAGTCCTCAGTCATGAATTGGAATTGGGAAGGACGCATACATGGCTCATTTCAAGGTATTTTCCAGGAATGACTGTAAAATCTCTGCCAGGACTGCTGAAGTCATGGATAATTCAATGTCAACACTTTTTGGCGAGATGCCTCATCAGTAGTAGTCACACAGTAAATACTTTAGACATTAAATAAACTAGTTGAGAAGTTTTGACAAGACAGAATATTGTGGATACAAATTATTTTATTCCGTGTTCCTTGCTTCACTTGCTGTCTTCAGCCATAATGGTGTTCTTGAATGTAGTGGCTTCATTATCCACTGCCTGTCGATTGATAATGGTGGCAGAGTGTTTGTTATCCAGCAGTGTGACATGGTTCCCTACCACAAAGTGCACTTCTACATTCTTGTCACAGTACTGCAAAACACAACATAACATATGCCCTTATTATCTACCATTTAAACAAACTGTAAGTAAAATGGGGACTACTGGGTTCTTGGACTTTGTCCATCATGCACTATTCTAAAGGACACATCATTTCAGAAACTGGATCTGTTTCCATCCTCAGGTAAGGGGGTTGGTGACACTACTCTGTTTGCTCCATTAGAATGAGCTAACCCCAATCACGGGGCAAATGTACATAAAATAGGCAATTATCCACCTGCACTTGCTTTATAAAAAAAACTGACTTGTGAACACCACACACGAATATGATATGTGTATACATTTTAGGGGTTTCGTGGAAATCTTTGTTCAGATTGAAGTTTGTTGGGTTCTGACACCCTGCATCTTGTTAGTATACACAAACAATTTGGAGAAACATGCTGCCTCCATCTTCAGAGTTGAAGTGTGCAGGCTGAGTAGTTGGCTTGGTTATTGCAAGGTGGCAAGGGAATAGAGCCTGATTCTGGCCAGTGGAAATGGTAGATAAGGAAATGACTCTTATGAGGAGCACACTATGGTTTTCATCACAGGAGGAATATGGAACTGTGAGAAAGTTTTCCTTCATTTTCTGCTTGTCAATTCTGTGTCAACCCCAAAGCCACTGACTGTGAAGTTTACTGTGTTCTGGGATGTGATGCCATGTAGTGTGGTAGAAGTTTACTGTGTTCTGGGATGTGATGCCATGTAGTGTGGTAGAAGTTTACTGAAGTGTCATACTGCCTTCATCTTCAACTGTGAAGGCAGACTACATTCCTCCAAAATATAGAAAAACTTCCACCAGGTTACATAGCATCACAGTGCAGAATATGGCAACTTTTGCATGCTATTTCAATTACAGTTTGCGATTCAAATACCATAGGTTGAAAACATTATACACTTCATCCTGGTAAAATGGAAAGAATATCACTAAAGGCACCCATGTAACTTCTGAAGAGTTGATGGCAATAATTGCAAGTAAGTGTGTGTGCACATACACATACTAAGGGAGGCTCGGATGATGTGTCGATGAAATATTCTAAAAGCAGTCATTCCTTTCACCAGAAATTTCCTCAACAATGTTACAGGTTTTTTATGTTTTGTTTTTACATGAGTGATCTCTCACCTTTGATAGCCCATAATCTTCCTCTGTTTTAAGAGCCATTAGAGTTGATCTCAGTAAGGTAGTAGGTGACTTGATAGTTGTCTTGTGGCCCCACTTGTAGTTTGACATGGCCTTTAGACGTATGTAGCTAGCAGTACCAACAGCCTTAAGGTGTTGCACACTGTGGTCTGTCTTTGGAAGCATCCTGATGAAGTGTTCCAGCCTCTCATCCCAGCTCTTCAGAGGTTTGATCTTCTCAACCAGCTGTCAACAAATATATATGTTCTAATTCATCTCATTATGTGCAAGTCACAAGTACAGAGCAATGTCTCCTAAAATAACACATAATTCTGCCAGGAAATAACAAACTCTCACCCCCTCATGGGAAATTACTGTTTGCTGTTTCAAAGAAGGACAGGTTGAAGACATGATTCCAGTGCCTTGAAGTTGGAACTTTTAACTACAAAAACCATTTGTACTCAAGGCCGAGAAGTACTGTGTCTAGTTCCGTGTATAAATATTAAATATAAATAAATTAGGTCCCTTACTTTTTCTTCTCTACATAAATGATCTATCTAAAACCATCAACAATAAATCTAAACCAATTCTATATGCAGATGACACTAGTATAATATTTAAGAACTCTAAATTTGAAAACTTTAAAAATTACATAAATATTGTATTTGAAGCCTTAAACAGATGGTTCGAAGCCAATTTACTCTCATTAAATTTTGATAAAACCCATTACATATCATTCACAACTAAAAACAACCACCAAATTGATCTGGACATCAGTTATGCCAACAAATTAATCTGTAAAGTACTTGATACAGAATTCCTTGGAATACATGTAGACAGTACACTGTCTTGGCACACACTTGGCACCAGTGTAGCGTGACACACGAAACACGCTACACTGGTGCCAGAAGTGGGATAAGACTTATACACGTCACCACAAGATTCGAACTTGGGATACACGCTACATTGGTGTCAGAAGTGTTACGAACTTAAACACGCCACTAACAGATTGTTGTGCATCGAGTATTGTGCTGCTACAACATGGACATGGAAAAGATGATGGAAATGTTGGCAAGAATTGACGCCAACGTGAAATCTAATCAGGCAAGAGCAGAGTCCTACCAAGAAACAACGGAGGCCAACAGAAAAGCTGACCAGGCCAAGGCGGAAGCCAGACACAGAGAGCTGATGGCCGATTGGAGAACCACCCACGAGAAAATTGAGCACCACCCAGAAGCGATGCAGTCCGTACTGGAGCATCGAGAGGTCCCCGCAGAAGACGCCACGAGAATACCGGTCGGAGAACCGAAGAAACGGCGTAGGGACAAGAAACTGGCCGCGGAACGCCGCCGCCAGAAAGTGAAGAGCTCAACATGGGAGAATTGTGGGCCCCACAAGGAATTGGCAGTCGCCCGAGTGACAACACACCGAGAGAAGGCGGCACGGCAGACGGAAAACCGCAGGAGGTCATCCCGTCGCGCGACAGTGGCACGACGTTGGAGAAATGACTCCAAGAAGGAAACTCCCCAGGGAACCTTCGGATGCCAGTGGAAAGAATTAGCCGACCACAGACGGACAACACACCGAGAGAAAGCGGCACGGAGAACGCCATTAGACAACAGGATGTCCCTCCGTACAGAAGTAGTACGACGTAGGGGACACACCATGGGGGTCGGCCCAACTCGGAACAGCGTTGCAAGGGGAGCCCCTGGATGGCGAAGACTTCAGGTGGGATCAATAAGGGGAACAGGAATAGAGCCCTATACAAAAATCCCAGGACAGGAGACCGCTAAGGGAATTACCAAATTTCCTGTCCCGCCACGAAACATAAAAGATTGGATCTTATGGAGGGGTAGACCCCCTCCAAAGCGGAAAAAGAGAACGGCCCTTACGGGAGGAACCGGTAACGAGAAGTACCGGCCTCCCCGACGAGGATGAATGCGAGACGAATGCAAGCAACGAATGAATGTGAAACTAGGCGATCAACAAATTCTCGGCTACAAGAGTGCTCGGGACGAGCACAAATGAAGAGAGGGGCGGATGCGATAAAACGAACAGCGCAGCAAGACTCGCGAGGGGCACGAAGGCCGAATGCAGATGTTGCAAGCAGAACACCGCGAATCGAAACCGAGGGAGAACCTTTAGGCTGTTCGGGGACGAACAACCTTTAGAAGGGAGCAGTGTAACGTGTCTGGAATCCAGAAGAGACTTCTATGGAAACGCTAGAAGGGACCGTTACATAGGAAGCAACAATAGCGATACTGTAATTCCAACAGTGAGCCGTTGCACCGAGAACATCGAATCTCCACGGTTACGAGAATACGCGAAGGTTTCCACAGAGGCAGCGCAACAACAATGGATCACTGCGTAGGAAACGATGAACCAACAGGCAACGTCTCCACAGCTACAACAGTGGGGTTGAATGCATTCGAGCAGTCAGTCTCGGATTAGACAGCTAAGAAGCCAGACGTCATCGAGCCATCTTGGAAGTCAGCCCTGGGATAACCGCCAGAAGAGGTAGTCCAGCATCGCCGAATATTGGGAGCAGTGATTGTAACACTGCAAGTGTAAATGTCTGTAAATTGTGCAAGACGAGCGAACGCAATAAAATCGCTATATTGAGAACGGCATGAACTTATTTGTAGCGTGACACACGAAACACGCTACACTGGTGCCAGAAGTGGGATAAGACTTATACACGTCACCCACAAGATTCGAACTTGGGATACACGCTACAATACATATTGAACAAATTATACCTAAATTAAATGCAGCTTGCTATGCGATGAGATCAATTAAGCCTTTTATGTCACAGGAAACATTGAAGATGGTTTACCATGCCTACTTTCATTCTATTATGAACTATGGATTAATATTTTGGGGGAACTCTTCACATAGTGTAATAATTTTTAAAATACAAAAGAATATAATTAGAATCATTACAGGATGTAGAAGTAGAGATTCATGTAGAGAATTATTTAAGAAATTAAAAATTCTACCTCTTCAATCGCAATACATATTATCGCTTCTCCTATTTGTTGTTTACAACAAAGATAAATTCAAATTAAATTCTGATGTCTATAACATGAATACTAGACAAAAATATAACTTCCACCTACCCTTATCAACTTTATCAGTATATCAAAAAGGAGTCTACTTTACTGGCATAAAAGTGTTCAACAATCTGCCACAAAGTATTAAAAACTTGGGCAATGATACTAAAAAGTTTAAATCAGAGTTAAAGAATTATCTACATGCTCATTCCTTCTACTCTTTAGATGAATACTTCAATGTAAATAGAGAATGATGTAAAATTAAGTTATATTAATTTTTAAGCTAAAATTGCCTGTACTTATGTATGTAACCTTTTGACTTGTTCTGTATCCAAAGGTACTAACCTGCTTAGGATTTATAGAATGTAAATAAATTCAATTCAATTCAAAGCAACATCCCTGACACAAGGAAAGGGGAAGAAGTATAACTGAAATGACCAACAATTATCAAGTACCAGAAGTAATAAACTAAAATAATCTCAAGAAGCAGAAGAATAAATTAATTTAGTGGGAACTAAACTCAAATGCATAATATGCAGTTGAGAACACAATACTCGTGTGTGTGTGTGTGTGTATATATATATATATTCTGTTTATGACCACAGACTTAACTGAGAATGTTCAAAGATATCATGAAATTTACTCTGTACTGTCAATATGTATGGTAGCCAAAGGAATTCCCTTTTGATTCCCTTTTGTTTTAACATGTCACCGAATAATTTGCCGCAAAATTCACCACCATTATCGGAACGAACAGTTTTTATTGTCAATCCAGTTTCTGTCTCAATCATTTTCATAAATTCTTTAAAGGCTTCAAATGTGTCACCTTTTTGTTTCAAGAAGCGAATGAAGATTTTTCTACTATGATCATCCACAATAGTCAAAAAATATTTAGCATTCCCATAAGAGGGTACTTCAAATGGCCCAACCAGATCTAAATGCAACAGATCAAGTATCCTTTTTGACCGTTTGTTCTTTGATTGTAGGAAAGGCTTCTTTGTCATTTTGCCTTCCAGACATGGAACACATTTCTTTGACTGATCTTCTTCTTGAAAGTCGATGCCACTAGCTACACCCTTTTTTAGCAA